ACGGTATCTTGTGCTACCCACTCACAGTATCTGTATAATTGGGATAAAAAATTGCTTAACCAAGCTCATTCTAACAATTGCACAAAACCACTCCAGAGTATCTTTATTGAAGGTCAACATATGATCAAAATGGATTACTAAGACTGGAACTAAACTCAAAATTTATCAGATTTACAGAGAGAGCCGAGGTACTTTTCTGCACCGTGGGAAATTACCCACTATGCAATTTTAGTTTCATATTTTCCACCCAAGAAGCAAACTAAACATCAGCCCAAGCTCATTTTTACTAAAGCAAAGCTCATCGACTTAAGCCATATTGATGCTAATCCACGAGAATTCTCTACACCGCCCCACGGGTGCAGCTGGAAGTACAGTTGTCCCTACAATGGGTGATGGCTAATATTTTGAGCGGGGAAGTCCCTATAAACAACTAGGAATCTACCCCTCAGTCCGAACTATTTACCTTGCTTTTTGCACTGAAATGTGTACGTCTCCAAACTTGATACGATAATTGTAAGTTATGCTTACAATTATCTGTAATATGCTAATAATATGCTCGTGTAATATGCTCTGTTTGACTGTAATAACTGTAATATGCTCGTGTTTGAAGCTAGATACAAATGCAACAAAATTATTAATGATTATAAAGAGTCCATTTCATGTGGATTTAATTGGCCTCCGAATGCATTATAGAGCTGATAAGTTAGCCAATGAATCTGCTGTCAGAGAAGGAGCTGATTATTACCTTGGATTGCCTATAAGCGGTCTGAGAGCAATAATACACCAAGAACTTCAACAGAACCTTGTAGATCTAAAGCAAAGTGAAATCTACACTAGTCATTTAATCTATCATCATCCTATTAAACAAGAAGAGCGACACATCTATGGATCATCTAATAAAATCAGCAGATTCCTAGATGTTTTTCCCTAGATGTTACTACTGCTCAGCTTAGAACTCGGCAATAAGTAATTCTGGAAATTTCCATTACCTGCTGATGTAAACCTGACTAAATGTAAACTGTGTCAAGAAAATTAGTCGCACACTCTCCGTCACTGTGTGATGGATTGCGACAAGATGCGTAAATTTACAAACAACTCTACAACATATATTCAAGAAATGTGTAAATATTTCATGCAAATTTACTTACTATGAAAAATTTTAACCAAATATCTCCAGTTTGCTAAATGTAAGTAGTGAATGTGAGTGATTGTAACCTATCCTCTGCTGCCACTAGATGGAGTGTAGTGTGAAGGATAAACATAATTTACCTGAATTTACCTGAGGGTTACTAACGCTCAAGTGATCTAGATGATACGAAGTCGGAGGCTTTAAAAAGGTCCCCCAATTTGTCCTGATGATTTTTTTAAAGATAGATTTTAAAATTTAGCAGCCTTTTGACATTCATGAAATCGGCGGGTAGGTAGTTCCATGGATTTGTAATCTTATTGATGTTTTCTGTCCAACATTATGACTTCTTGAGCCTGAAACCGTTAATCCTTGTTTGTGTTACATATGACCTCATGAAAAAAATGTCTGGATCAATATCCTGTAAATTGTTAAGAATTTTAAATATTTTAAGGAGATCTGCACTGTCATGTCTGGTTCGCAGTTATTAGCCCTGTGGAATACAATCGTACATGATATAAGAGTTGACGTAGTTCTGGGATGATTTTTATTGCTCGGTGTTGAACGTTCTTGAATGCAGATAAGTCTTCCTGAAGATGAAGTCTCCATGCTTGGATACTATAATCCCAGGGATTTATATAGTTGAATATATATCTTCTTTCCTTTAAAGTAAATAAATAAATAAATTTTTTTTTAATCAACACTGTTTGTCAACCTATTGTATTTGTGCTGCTTTTTCAGTCATGTTCCCCTTTTTTTTTATCTTTATTTGTATTTGTTCTCAACACTTTTTATTCTTTATGCTCAATTAGTATTAAGTTCTAGATATTAATGTTTTTCTTGCCCGAAACGCATTGCGTAATAGTGGCTTTAGGCATTGAATGTACTAGCTCTATCTATATATCAATCCATTAATGTAACATCACTTGTATGTATGTACCTTACCTGAATAAACATATTTATATTTATTTATATAAAGTCAAAGGTTCTGTTGAATATTTCTTGTGTTTGGTTCGATATTTTTACTGCCACTCTCACTTGTGCAACTTTTAGTGAATGATGGATTCTGACTCCAAGGTCCTTCATCAATCTTCCGTAGGGTAATGTTGTTAATTTGGTAGTTGTGACGGGATTGCTATGCCCCACATGGATGGTCTTGCATAAAAAAAGTGCATGAAAGTGTTACATTTTCCACTTGGAATTACGGGCGTTTTGCTTAACCGCTTGTCGGATCACGACGTAAATTTACGGACCGTGTTATAGTGGGTATATACTACTCGATCGACTTGGGGTTTGTATGAATATGTCTGCCATTAAATTTTTGTTTTCTCTAATAGGCACAGTGCCTATTTGAGAAAACGGCAATGTATTGTAACTTAGAGGAGAGACTATTGAGTTGGTGACACAACGAGGGTAATCGCCCACTCTACACACTCTTGTGTTGGCCGCGATCATGATTCTACATTTATATGCATATGTCTGTGTAGAGAATTTTATTCCGAACACTATACAAACAAAAAAAACGGAGTGAAACAAGTATAAACTTGAAAAAAACATGAGCAAAGTAAAAACTTTTTACGCTCACGGGTACAAACACGCATAAGATTTTATTCGCCGCAAATTTATTTGACGCTCTGTTGGCCAATTCTACCCATGTTCTTATAGAACTTTCTATTGTTATATATAAAACTTTCTATGGCGAAAACATTGCTATAAAAATGAAATACGTAGCTCGAGAAATAATTTCAGGACAGTGAAATAAGTATAAACTTTCAAAGCGCTGCATCACAACAGTGTCGTCGCTGCTGAAACCACGGCTAACGCTTCGCCCAGTTCCCACACTCGTGCGGAACATAATTAGACATTGATAGGCATATGTCTGGGTGGGGAATTTTATTGCGAGTTCAGTGATATCAAAATAAGCGCTGTAGGATGATTGTGAGGCTGGCAACAAACGAAAGAGTATGAACATTTACTTCCTGTTTGGGTGTCACGGCGAGTCATCTTCGTGTTTATTTACTTCGTGGTGGGATAGCAAATGCTTGGGTGACATTTTATGCATATGATCTTGTAGAGAATTTTATTGCCAACGCATTGATACCAAAATGAAAAACGTAGCTCGAGAATTGATGTTAGGAGCGTGAAAAGATTATAAACTTTTTTGTGTTTACGCTTGAGCGCCCAGAACGCCACGCGCACAAGGCACTTTTTTTTAAGGGAGTGCCGCGCGCACTAAAGTGTATTAAACAGATATTTTATGCCTGTTTTCTGATTTTTTTATGGAAAGTACAAAGCATTTGCGTCACAGATAGCGCAGGGTCGCGGTCTGGGTCACTCCTGGTTGGCGTTTTCAAACAAGCAAGTTGGCTTGTTGGCCACTACCTGCAGCCGGCCTTCAATGCCAACTCGTGGAGTACGTGACAATATGGGCTCCTACACATCACCATTATGTCGGACGGAGTCCGCAGGACTGAAATTTAATTGTCATCTTGATTATGATAATGTCAGCACGACGATCTTTGATGTGTTACAGATCAAGCTTTCAAAAGCTTCGCAGCAATAGTGGTGGTGGTGAGATTTGTCACCAGTGTCATGTTCGGAATTAGTGAGAAAGTACGATGATAACTGTCAATTTACATAATGAGAATGGTTCGGTGCAAGTGATGTGAGGGATGTGTCCTTTGAAATATTAAATGGGACTATTGTTAACGTATTTGAACACTATGAAAAGTGGAAAATGTTTGCCGGAATAAGCATATTTTTGGTCCAGCAAAAGTACTAGAAAAATGAAACGGCACTAGAAAAATTAAAAAAACGGCACTAGAAAAATTAAAAAAACGGCACTAGAAAAATGAAAACTATAACTTTCTCTAAATATTCCTTTATCATTGTCAGTAACAGCTCACAACATAAGTTTATTTGTGTACAGATTCCTGAGGAATTGTGATCCTCTGTACCTGAAGTTTTTGCATTATACCGTTTGTTTTTGGATTGTTGTCATAAGGTGTTTCTTTAGTTCTGCCCATAAGTACAGTACGGACAATTTTCATTATGTACTTTGAGTGGTCAATTATTTTGGCAGAAACTTAGTATTTTGTTCTGTATTTATTATTGTTATAATTTCTACAGCTGTGGTATGATGCCTAATGCTCCGGGATAAACCGAGAATACACTTTGATCTTAGCCAAAAGACCGATGAACCGAGAAGGTTGGGCATATTTCCTTTCACCTGATGTCTCTGTTCACCTAGTAGTAAATAAGTACTCGGTAGTTAGGTAACTGGTTTGGGTTGCAACCTGGCGAAGGTCAGTATTTACGGTTGCCCAAGGGCGACCTCGGCAAGCCTGACAGGCTGCCTGTCCCCAATTATTTATGCTAATCCATATTAATAAGTACGTGAGCCACATAATAAACGTTAATTACATCTTTTAAGTAATATGGTGAACTGCACTTATTTATTGTATGTGTTAAGACTACAGTACTTCAGTGTCTCCATAAGTGACAAAGGACACATACCGTTGCCAGTAGTCACGTGACCAGCCATAGCATCTACATATAAAGGTCAAAGTCTGCTCCCTCTAACATGTATATGCTCTAGGGTCAGCACAAGTCGCATCCAAGGAACTGTATTTATTTGGTACAATATATTTATCTATATGTTGATATAAAAAAAGTAACGATATATATGAGTAACTTATATAATATGTTTGTTAGAAATGACATTCATTCGAAACTTATAATTAACACACATTGAATGTTATAAAACTCGGAAAGATAAAATGTATAGAAATGTGTATTAATACACATATCGCCACGTCGCCACCAGCAAGTGCAGGTACACAGGTCCTGGACCCGTCCGCCCGCCTCGCCACTGTGGACGGCCGGCTCACGCCTCAGTCAGCCACACTCACAGCGCTGGACAAGACGCTGCCATACTCCACACTAAGTATGTAATACTTTATTATGTATTTTAACACAGATTAAGCGGCTGAGGCGAGATTTATTAGTAAACTTGAATACTGACAATTGAGCTGATCAAATACTGCATAGTAAACACTACTGTATTAAGGTACAGTGAACATGGCTGTAATACTGCAGAGTGAAGATAGGTGTAATACTGCAGAGTGAACATGGCTGTAATACTACAGAGTGAACACGGCTGTAATACTGTAAAGTGAACACGGCTGTAATACTGCAGAGTGAAGATAGGTGTAATACTGCAGAGTGAACATGGCTGTAATACTACAGAGTGAACACGGTTGTAATGCTGCACAGTGAACACAGCTGTAATGCTGCAGAGTGAACAAGACTGTAATGTTACAGCGAGAATACAGCTGTAATACTGCAGAGTGAACATAGCTGTAATACTGTAGAGTGAACACGGCTGTAATACTGCAGAGTGAACACGGCTCTAATACTGCAGTGAATACGGCTGTAATACTGTAGAGTGAACACGGCTGTAATACTACAGAGTGAACACAGCCGTAATGCTGCAATGAACACGGATGTAATGATGCAGTGGACATAGCTGTAATACTGCAGAGTGAACAGCTGCAATACTGCAGTTAACATGGCTATAACACTGCGCTATAACACTGCAGAGTGATCATGGCTGTAATTTTCACTGTGAACATGGCTATAATGCTGCAGAGTGAGCATAGCTGTAATACTGCAGTGAAAAAACAGCTTCAATACCACAGTGAGAACACGGTTGTAATACTCCAGTGGGAACACAGCTGTAATACTGCAGATTGAACTTAACTGTAGTACTGAAGAACACGGCGGTGCTAACCAAACTCTTGAAATAATCATGCGTACCTTTGACTTTATGGAAAAGAAGGTAGTGATTCAGTTGTATAAATCTCTAGTGCACCTCCATTTGGATTACTGTATCCAAGTACAGAGACCTCATCTTCAGAAAAAGCACAGCTGCTCTGGAATAAGTGCAACACCAGGCAACAAAAATCATTCCAGAGTTAAGTCACATCACATACGAGGAACGGTTGAGGGTTAAAGAGCTAACAATACTGCAAACCTGGCATGACAGGGCGGATCTCATTGAACCTTTAAAATACTAAACAATTTGGAGGAAGTTGATTCGGAAACTTTCTTCAAAAGGTCAGATGTAACACAAAGAAGGAGCAATGGATTCAAGCTTAACAAGTAACAATGTAGGACTGAGAACAGGAGGTGCTTTTTCACCCACAGGGTTATTAATCACGGAACCGCATACCTGCCCAAGACGTAAAGGCCAAAACTCTGTTAACTATTAAAGTACAGCTGGAAAAGATCATCAAGGCAAATGGGGGTTGCACATTCCTATGAACCTTCGATAGGAAGGTCTGAGACTCCAGAATGGTAGAGTGGAAAGCGCATTGGAGTCTTAGTCCTAAGGGCCCGGGTTTGATCCCCAGCAGAGGCAGAAACAAATGGGCAGAGTTTCTTTCACTCTGATGCCCTTCTTCACCTAGCAGTAAATAGGTATCTGGAAGTTAGACAGCTGCTACAGGCTGCTTCCTGGGGATGTGTAGTCACCTAGTTGTGCTTGTGGAGGTTGATCTCTGGCTCTTTAGTCCCACCTCTCAACTGTCAAAAAACTGATGTACAGATTCCTAAGCCTACTGGGCTCTAATCATATCTACATTTGAAACTGTGTATGGAGTCTGCCTCCACCACATCACTGCTTAATGCATTTCAGCTGTTAACTACTCTGACACTGAAAATGTCCACAAATGCACGGGCTTGCATTTGTTGATATTAAAAAGCATTTGCCAGTCATCTGACTATTTGTACTCACCTAGTTGTGCTTGCGGGGGTTGAGCTCTGGCTCTTTGGTCCCGCCTCTCAACAAGTCAATCAACAGGTGTACAAGTTCCTGAGCCTATTGGGCTCTATCATATCTACACTTGAAACTGTGTATGGAGTCAGCCTCCACCACATCACTTCCTAATGCATTCCATTTGTCAACCACTCTGACACTAAAAAAGTTCTTTCTAATATCTCTGTGGCTCATTTGGGCACTCAGTTTCCACCTGTGTCCTCTAGTGAGTGTGCCCCTTGTGTTAAACAGCCTTTCTTTATCAACCCTGTCAATTCCCTTGAGGATCTTGAATGTGGTGATCATGTCCCCCTAACTCTTCTGTCTTCCAACGAAGTGAGGTTTAATTCCCGTAGTCTCTCCTCGTAGCTCATACCTCTCAGCTCGGGTACTAGTCTGGTGGCAAACCTTTGAACCTTTTCCAGTTTAGTCTTATCCTTGACTAGATATGGACTCCATGCTGGTGCCGCATACTCCAGGATTGGTCTGACATATGTGGTATATAATGTTCTGAAAGATTCCTTACACAAGTTTCTAAAGGCTGTTCTTATGTTAGCCAACCTGGCATATGCTGCTGCTGTTATCCTCTTGATATGAGCATCAGGGGACAGGTCTGGCGTGATATCAACCCCCAGGTCTTTCTCTCTCTCGGACTCTTGAAGTATTTCATCTCCCAAGTGATACCTTGTATCTGGTCTCCTGCTTCCTACCCCTATCTTCATTACATTACATTTGCTTGGATTAAACTCTAACAGCCATTTGTTCGACCATTCCTGCAGCTTGTCCAGGTCTTCTTGAAGCCTCAAGCTGTCCTCTGTCTTAATCCTTCTCATAATTTTGGCGTCGTCAGCAAACATTGAGAGGAATGAGTCTATACCCTCTGGGGGATCATTTACGTATATCAGAAACAGGATAGGTCCAAGTACAGAGCCCTGTGGGACTCCACTGGTGACTTCACGCCAGTCTGAGGTCTCACCCCTCACTGTAACTCTCTGCTTCCTATTGTTTAGGTACTCCCTTATCCACTGGAGCGCCCTACCAGTTACTCCTGCCTGTTTCTCCAGCTTATGCATCAACCTTTTATGGGGTACTGTGTCAAAGGCATTCCGACAGTCAAAAAAAATGCAGTCCGCCCACCCTTCTCTTTCTTGTTTAATCTTTGTCACCTGATTGTATAATTCTATCAATCCTGTAAGGCAAGATTTACCCTCCCTGAACCCATGTTGATGGGTTGTCACGAAGTCTCTTCTCTCCAGATGTGTTACTAGGTTTTTTCTTCACAATCTTCTCCATCACCTTGCATGGTATACAAGTTAAGGACACTGGAATGTAGTTCAGTGCCTCTTGTCTGTCACCCTTTTTGTATTTTGGTACTACATTAGCAGTCTTCCATATTTCTGGTAGGTCCCCCGTTTCCAGTGACCTACTATACACTATGGAGAGTGGTAGGCAAAGTCCTCCTGCACACTCTTTCAATACCCATGGCGTGATTCCATCCGGCCCGACAGCTTTTCTCACATCCAGCTCCAATAGGTGCTTCTTGACCTCATCTCTTGTAATTTCGAACCTATCCAAGGTCACCTGGTTTGCTGCCACCTCTTCTAGCGCCGCGACATCTCCCTGTTCTGTTGTAAAGACCTCCTGGAACCTTTGTTGAGTTCTTCACACACCTCTTTGTCATTCTCTGTGTACCTGTCCTCGCCCACCCTAAGTTTCATCACCTGTTCCTTCACTGTTGTCTTCCTCCTGATGTGACTGTGTAGTAGCTTGGGTTCGGTTTTGGCTTTATTAGCTATATCATTTTCATACCTTTTTTCAGCTGCTCTTCTCACACTGACATACTCGTTCCTGGTTCTCTGGTATCTCTCTCTACTTTCTGGTGTTCTGTTATTGCGGAAGTTCCTCCATGCCCTTTTGTTTTGCTCCTTTGGTTTCATACATTCCTTATTAAACCACGGATTCTTCCTTTGCTTCTCTGTTTTTTCCTGTCGGGCTGGGACAAACCTGCTTACAGCCTCCTGACATTTTTGGGTGACATAGTCCATCATGTCTTTTACGGACTTGGTTCCGAGTTCTGTGTCCCAATGTATATCCCATAGGAATTTATTCATTTCCTCATAATTTCCCTTTCGGTACGCCAGCCCTTTGGTTCCCAGTTCTTTTTTGGGGGTGATAATTCCCAGCTCAACCAGGTACTCAAAGCTCAATACACTGTGATCACTCATTCCCAAGGGGGCTTCCAACTTAACTTCCCTTATATCCGACTCATTTAGGGTAAATATCAGATCAAGCAAGGCTGGTTCATCCCCTCCTCTCATTCTTGTCGGTCCCTTGACGTGTTGACTTAGAAAGTTTCTTGTTGCCACATCCAGCAGCTTAGCTCTCCATGTGTCTGGGCCTCCATGTGGGTCTCTGTTCCCCCAATCTATCTTCCCATGGTTGAAGTCTCCCATGATTAGAAGTCTGGATCCGTTCCTGCTAGCCACAGAAGCTGCTCTCTCTATTATATTGATGGTGGCCAAGTTGTTTCTATCATATTCCTGTCTGGGTCTTCTGTCATTTGGTGGGGGGTTATATATGACTACTATTATAATTTTCTGTCCTCCAGTTGCTATGGTGCCTGAAATGTAGTCACTGAAACCTTCACAGTTCTGAATTACCATCTCTTCGAAACTCCAACCTTCTCTTAGTAGCAGAGCTACACCACCTCCTCCTCTCCCTTCTCTCTCTTTCCTCACTACATAGTAGCCCTGTGGAAACACTGCATTTGTTATGATTTTCGTTAACTTTGTTTCTGTGAGTGCTATTATGTCTGGGTTTTCTTCTAGTGCCCATTCTCCAAGTTCACTTGTTTTATTTGAAATCCCATCTATGTTAGTGTACATCGCCTTGAAGCTCACTTTCTTCTGTTCATTTTCATGTCCCTTTCTTGGCAAGCATTCTGCTGGTGTGGGAAGCTGTTCCGTGGGTGAGAGGATCTGTGAGGTGGTTTGCAGGGTCTCAGAGGATTTTGGGGTGGGGGGTGGGGGTTGAAGGGAAGGGGCGACAGGTAGGGTGTGGGTTAAGGAGGTAGGGGGGACATGGAGGATACGGGGTGAGGGGGGAGGAGGGATAGGGAGGGTCTGGGA